ACACTTAATAATATTAGAGGATAGCCCTTATTCAGCACCACAATAAATTCAATTTGTACCTTCTTGAATTTACATCATAATCTCAGCTTACAAAGTAAGAGCTGAGATTTTGTTTTGCTTTGATTATTTACTATTATTAATGTGCTTGAAAAACTAACGTTTTTCTTTCAGAAATTGTCCTAGTATGATAAATATTATTTTTTGGATTTTTTAATTTGTTTTTATTATAAATCTTTTTAAAAACATTACATTTACACCATCAATATACAATTTACCTGCAATTGGCAGGTATTAAGTGCCAAAATTTCAACAATTGAGCTGTGAATATAAAAATAGTTGATGGTTTATATAAATTTAAAACATTCATTTTATTAGCGTGTTCTGAATTCCTAATTGTTTTTTATAAATAAAGGTAATTTTTTACAGCAAGTGCGCACAAAATAACATTCATTCAGCCCGTCTTCATAAAATAACATCAGGAACACTCGGGAAACGTTTACGTATTATGTTACTCCATGTTACCTATACCTTCCCATTAGGTACTATTGATTGTTTGACATTAATATTTATTCAGTCAAAAGCCTTTTCAAGATACTCGTAATACAAGCACGTGTGACCTGACTTTCTCATGTTAAGTACCATCTAAAAGGAAAACAAAGGATGTTCATTACTTACTGAATGGCGTACCTACTGAGAAAAGGGCTTGACATTCGGAAAGGACGTTGGTACTTAAATAGATGAGCTGGGCATCGGTTTCATTCTATTTATAGAATAAAATACTACGTTTTGTTGTTTCACAAATCAGCTACAATCTTTTCCCATTACCTCATTCAGTCCAATTGGCATTTAGTCATGCCATATAGGTGAGCGTGCATATGATAGGACGACACGCTGACCTTCCTAGCCGTAACTTAAAATAACATCGATCCAGTGACATCTCTCACAGTGACATTAATCACATTTTTTTTAGTCTTGGGGTTCGTGTCCTATCGAAGGTTAGACAACATCATAGTAATCCGGAGTCTAAAGGCTGCCGCTCTAAAGAGAATGGTGGTACTACAACTAAATTATTCCCTTAGATTCTTTTAACTAATAATGCCGCCTCCTACCGACTCTTCATTTTCCAACAATTTAGGCCTCTACAATGATGTAGTAATTTGTCCTTATCCATTCTTCATGACGTGACCGAAGTTCAACAACATCTTCCCACGCTTAAAGTGTTCATAAGCTTCTTCAGCGTATTAAATACTTCCACGTTTGTAACGCGGTTGTGCTATGAGATTCTCAAGATAAAGCCGTAAATCCACATCTCAAGAATCTTTAGCTTCTTGGTTCACATCACGTCGTAACACATACATATCATCACGCCTATCTCCCACCGGGGTAGGTAAAGACTTTAGACCTCCACGTGCTACGCTCCTGATAAACTTCTATCGTCTCCTTCACTGCCACCAGTCTCTTCATACATGTAAATTTATTCTTGGTACTTTTTACGCGGCCTTTTTAAGGGCAACCCCAAACTCATTAAGAGGTCTAGTCTAGTCTCCCCACCTTCATCCACATTCGTTCTATAAATTTGTGCCGTCAATCTACCAACATTTATATTAGTATTCATAATATTATTGTATTGGTACTTATATTAAAAGTAAGTGTAACGGAGTTGAATTATCATTCTCTAGCGAGATTCTTTAAGAAGCACCAGAAATCAATTTCAAACAAACCAAACTATTCACACACTTGTTCGAACAGACCCCAAAAATCCTTACCTTTAATAAGACGATATTTCCTTTCAATACTTTCGCGTCCCCACAAAATACACTCGGCAGAAAGTTTCAGCATAATTTTATTTTTCAACTCATCACGGCCTGGGTCCGGTCGAAGTTTTTGATTTCTTTCGTAGAGCAATTCCGCGCTAGTTTTACCCAGGAAACTTTTCGAAAGTGGGACGCAATAAACAAAGCCCGCTGAATTTGTTGAATAACTTCAAGTTGTATATTAGTGTCGTTCAATGCGGAACGGTAGTTTTCATGAAATCGGCTGCTGTGAAGTTGCAATCAATTAACTTGATTAGAGTTTTTCTTTCACAAAACTTTGAACATTTCGTTTTTGATGATTTTGCTTGAAATCCAAAACGCCTTATTAAATTACATAGAGAAACGCGAAATAATTTGAGATTTTATTGTATTTATGTTCAAGAGTGTTTGTGTGTTACTATTGGTACGTTCGTAACCATTACGAGCTCTAACAGAATATCATCATGTTCACCATAGTACAGTTGCTGCAGCTGAAACATTGCCCCATGTGATATTTATGTTTTTTTATAAATATTACACAACATCACACACGTCGCTGTGATCCCCAAGTAAGTAGTTAAAGCACTTGTTTTATGGAAATCGGAAACAACAACAGTACCACAGATACCCAGACCCGAGATAATATGGAAAACTTAGTTTTTCTACACTGACCTGGCCGGGTATCGGGGCGAACTCGGGTCCTCAGGGATAACGACAAGCCACGCGACTACATTAGCCGTCTAATTTTATTTTTCTACTCCTGAACTATAAATCCGTTAATAATAATTTCATATACCACACCATAAAGGTGCTGGTTTAGTTCTGAATCAAAATTCTATTGTCTATGGTATTCGCTACTAAACGGAAAAAATAGTTCTAGTTCGGTACACAGAACTATTATGAGTTTCAGAAAAAGAACGTCGTACTTTTGCTTATTAAAATATCAAATATGAAATTAATAGATTCAGGTGTTACTTTGCGGAAGTCCATGTTAATAAAAATGTAAGTAAATTAATTTGGTACTCCGGAACCCATTGAAGGTTAAATCGTGCAAAATAGCTGCGCTTGTGTTGAATGTTTTTTCATGCAGTTAATTTTCCCACTCTCCCTCCACATAAAATTAGTAAAATAAATAACAAAGCACAACTACAGTCACAAACCTCCACTAAAAATATACCCGACACGTGTTTCGCCTCTCCATGAGGCATCCTCAGGGGCTGTTGATTACTGGACCCTAGGCCGAACAATGAGCTCGTTCAGAACAGTTGGTGTATTTGTACCCCGCAACCCCCAGTGTTGCTGTTGTTGAAACCCGAAAATACCTGTAATAAAGGTGATGATGCAAAATTCAATTGTTCATTTATCATACCTAATCAAATATGACTCTACTCAAACGCCTGCCTCCTGATTGGTTAAATTGGCCTAAAGGTCTTGCAACCGGGCCATAAACTGTTAAAAAAAAAGATTTGATAAATTGCAAGCGGTACTTGACCACTTCTATTATATATCTTTAGTTTTTTCTTTGTAATGTATGTTTGCCTCCCGTTTGAATTGTTTTGGCATGGATTGTTAACAAAATATATATTAAATGTTGGTTGTGTTTCTTTATTTTACTTACCAGTGGTAAAAGTACTGTATACAGTCGTTACATAATTTATAAGTACTAATGCAAAGATCGAACACTTCCTTCGACCCGGCCGGATTCAAATCGACCTCCTCTAGCAAACCGTGGCAGACGCTATGCCAACAAAGAACGTCAATTCAAATCCGGCCGGATCGAAGGAATTTTTTCTGAGTATTCGATCTTTACGTTAATAATTATAACAAAGTAGTGGAGTAATTTCACAAAAAATTATTGAATATCAATTCGAATTTAATGGAATATTAATTAGGTTTTAAAATCTCGCACCTTATTGCCTACGAGGCTTTACCTCGTGGCCTAAACGCGACACTCGACTTTTTTCTCTCTCGACCAGATAATTTTTTTGTTGTCATCTAAGTTTAATAGAATTTTGAATTTTAAATTTTTCTTAACCCGCCATTACGAACATTAATATCAAAAATCATAACGGTTGCCGCAATTCCTGGGCCAAAAAACAAATTAGCGGCGTATACAAAACATCTGACACTAATTAAGTAAGTCAAGTTTTAGCATTAAGTACTGTTGTGAAAAGGTTTGTTTTGTAATATACGGTTAGGAAGTTTAGTTTTATAAGATTTACCAGACTTATTTACAGCTAATTTATAGGTATCATGAATAGGTTCTGTAACATCCTGAAACTTTATTTTATAACAGCGAGAAGGAAAAGGTGTGTCAAGATCGAAACATATGACGATTACGTTCTTAGAAATTGTGTGTGGTCAGGAATCGTAGTTTTTTGTTATGTGTGTTTGTATATGTATGTAATCCTGCATTTCGATTGATATGGGTAAATAGAGCGTCACATTAACTAGCTCTTATCCCACAATCGTGATCTAGAGACGTCCAATGTGAAAGAGACCAATCATCCATTACGCGGACGGTTCCATAATGATCCATTTAGAGAGCAACATCAATCTTATCACCGTCCATCCTTTCTGGTTTTATTTTTTAAATTAATCTTTGCACGGTTCAGGATTGCCCAATCATGAAGGTTCGTTTTTTAAGGACAATGTTGTCACCATGGCATAAAATGTAACAAAAACTGTAGGGGCTAAGAATTTGCAAAGTCATGTTTTTTAAATTTTTAATGAAATGATTGTATATTTGAGAGAAATTATGAGAATATCTTTTAGCTGCTTTTTATTATAAATACAACATTCATCTTGTATTATTGGAGCCGCCACACCCAAGAAGATGTAGAAGCCCTCGACGAACTCGTTAAATCAAAGACTATTTATAGTTTACTGTAATATATTCGCAACTTTAAGATTGAACCGTATGACTCAAGGTTTTCATAGCCTAATGCGAATAACATAGCGCTCATTCAGAGCGCAGGTGCGAGCGCGGGCGCCGCGGCGGCGGGCGCAAGCGCGCGGTTCTTGGCGTCTTCCCTTTCACAGAGCCGAAGCGGCTACTTTGTCCAAAGCAATTGAAAATAATAATAATTTATCACCCTTTTCTCTGGTTCCTGGCCACCTATCTTGAAATTTCGAATCGTTTTCTAATTCCTTTTCTTCGTTGCTTTTACCTTTCTTCTTCGCCACTCTCTACTAAATTCAGTAAGTAAGCTCGACTTCAAATAAAATTCTGACCAGTTATACTATTGAAAATCGTGTAACCTACCTGCTTGTAAAGCATAATTATCGGAAATGCAGGTCCTTTTGGGGTAAGTTCATTTTTACCATGTCTAACCTGTTAACATGTATTTAATTTAAGCAGGGAGTGTTTTATATGATTGTACCTGTGTTTTATATCGTTATTTTGTTTTGTTACGGCCTTTACGCCTTTACTTTACCTTTCTTCCTATTCCTATTTTACAGTAAATTATGTGGACCACGAGCCTTTCATTTGGTTACCAAAACCTCCGGCCACAATGCGTAGCGTAGCGTTTAGCAAATAAATACCGTATTGAAAATAGAATTTGATTACCATAATAATTATAGAAAATGAAACTACTTTTTCGGGTCCTTTACAGGTCTCGTGGTCACGGCTGACTGACCTGTAAAGGGCCCGAAAGGTTGGTTTGTTTGAAAAAACAAATATATTTGCAATGTAGATCGGAAAAAAATAGTTTCATTTCCTATGTGTAACTCTTTTATGTATTTTTTTAACAAAACACATGAGATTCGATTAAAGAAAAGGTACTTTTAGTGTATTGTAGAGAGTGTTATAACAATAACACGAAAGTTAAGTAGAAACTAGTATATTGTGTTAAAAATAAATAACAAATCTAAAATTTGACACCTTTTTACCAGTAAAGCCGCAAGTACCTGCAGATGGATTATTTTTTTCTTGATAGCGAATGATTGGACCTATATTGTAAATAATCCACACACATTACAAGTTCCTACATTTCGGGATAAAAAGTAAAATGTTTATTCCTCCATACAAAAAAAAAATAGCTCGATACTCCACAAGTTATTCCTATGTCCAAGAATTATCAATTTGGGCCCACTGTGAGGCGCCCCGGTGCGCATAGCCACTGTAAACGCAAGAGCGTCTACTTACATTTGATATCCACGCACCCGTGCCCGCCGCCACTCTGAATAAGGCGTTAGAATCACATCTTTGCCTACCTACCGACACTACCACCCACCTATCTAAACACCGACATGACTACGTCCGTCCTGTAATACAGACGTTAACTAATTAAAAAAAACATTATAATAGCAACCCTAAAACTAAATTTACGATACAAAGTAGATTTTCAGAACCAAATCCTATTAATTAAACCAAACGAACTGTATATAAACTATACATGAGGCTGTAACAGGCAAATGTAATTTGCAATGTAATTACATATACATTTCAACACGTAGTTCAGGGAGTTAATAAATAAGCAGAATTGTTGAATGAGAAACTTTGTAATCATGTTTCGCAAAAGTTTTAGATAATGTTACCGTTTATGACATGGGTGTGATATATGAGGAATATATATGTTTATACAGGCTTTAGTTAGGTTTTATTAATTAAGATTTGAAGAAATATATATTTTTAACACTTCTACAGCGGTGTACGTCATGCGAAGGAAGCCTCGTCAGAGGCGCATAATTTGAACTGTGCACCATATCATTCTGATTATTTGACAGTGGCAAAAGAATAGTGTAGCCACATCTAGAAAGAGTATTTTGATGAGAGGTCACGTAGTAAAGGTATTTGGTATTAAAACGTTGCAGCCTTCCCTCTTTCCATTGTTTGATGGTGCCGATTATGTGCAGAACAAATTTAATCACAGCATTTCGGGTCCGATCCGGACACAACATGCCTCTAAATAGCTTCTCATATTTAATGAGAAAGGTCAATCCCCCAATTGCACTAAATAAGACTGGTTGGTGGATGCATACCATATCTTGATGGAGTGTGTACGAAACGGAGCCAAAAGAAGGGATGTTTCTTATAGTTTAGATTGCAATTTGGCAGAGTTAGGTGTGTGTAACATTTTCTTATCTTCCCCAAGATTAAAGGATGTTTAAAGAGCCTGTCATTATGCGGTTGACATGTTCTAATCAAGAAAAAACCCTCCTTAAATAAACATAAAAAAAGACTAGAATTTAGTAGCGATGTTTTTGTCTATCGTATACCTACTTTGTTCGGGGATTTATCACTAATATAATTTATTTATTTATTGGCAACACTAGCATTATGTTCACAAAATATTTTTATATTATTTTACTTGTGTGTTTTACATTATAAACACAACAAATATTATAAGTGTTGACGGCAATCTCAAAATAACAAATAAAGTATATTAAAAATTTCGACAAATTAATATCTAAAGATAATTTTAATTAGATAGCAATAGAATAGACTGAGAAGTACATACTATAGGAACTTAGATTTTTTAGTTCATTGATTTATTTATAAAAAAGTAGATATTATCATTAAATATATCTACCTAAATCAGAATTATTAACATTTCTTTGTTGTAAGTTTTACACATTTATTATAATAGGCGAGTGTTATAATTAAAACATCTCTTGGTACAAAAAGTTTAACTCAAAATTGAATTTAAGTTCTTTAATTTGCCCAACAAAGTCAGTTTCATCATCATCAATCCATTTATTCATCCCACTGTTAGGCACGGGTCTCATCTCTGGCAAGGGTTTAGGGCAGAGTCCGCCACTCTGGCCAAAAACGAGTTGGGAGATCTTCATACGTTTTCCGAGGGTTGTTAACCGTGTTACATGACGTACAGGTTTCATCGCTATTTTGCCCTTCATCGAAAAGCTCATGGTAAATTTCAAATTGCACATAAATGCCGAGAAATTCAGAAGTGCGAGCCCGGATTCGAACCTACGGCGTCTGTTTGAGAGGCGGTAGGTCAAACCAATATGCTATCACGGCTTTTAGTTAGTTGAAGTCAAAAGTTTTTATAAATTTTATTAGGGCTGTGTCTTAGAAATTTAAGTAACAGAATTCACGTGGAAAAGACGAAGTATTTTTATTGGCATACAAAATCAATGTAATTTTTTATCTGATGGCAGAATAGTGAGTTTTGGCCTTCGTTTTATATATAAAAAAATAAGTACGCATTTGACCTCCATCTCACCTGATGGAAAGTGACTATGAGGTCGAGGATGTAATCTATGTAAGTTTCCCGTGTCTACATTTTTGCATTAAATATTAAACGAACTTTTCCCTTTCACCATTAGTTCATTTGAAAACTGGCACAAAAACGCAAAATGACCTTTTGAATACACAGGTAAAAAAAATGCAAGCTAATATTGAAAGCTGAATTGAGAGAATTTTTGAACTCGTTATCAAAAAAATCGTTCTCCGACTTCCGTTCAACAATACATTCAGCTCGATTGTATTTTTAAATGTTCGGCATATTGAATCCTCTGAACAGTACAACGAATCTTTTCGGTAAGCTAATATTATTGTAACTTAAATATGCTTTTGTAAATTATCACTTCAAGATAGTATATAAGTCCTTCTTTTAAGTTATACTTACCCTATACGTAACTTTCTAACAGTTTTCAAACCTTCGGTACAAGTAAAGGTATATTTTATTTAACTCGTCTATGGACAGTAACAGCGGTCACCGAAACTAACAGAAATTAGAATCGATTGGAAAGAGAAAGGAAAATTCTTACTGAAGAATTTAAAAGAAAAATAAGAAATGTTTGATCCAGATTTTTGGAATAATTTTCAGCCAGTCTAGATTGCTCTAGAGCCTTAGTTTCCAAAGTTGTCCAGGTGGACCCCCAGGGGTCCACGGAAGACTCGACGGGGGTCTGCGTTGGCGTGACAAAAAATAATATGGATGTGGAATATGGTAGAAATGTAGTTTCAGGGGATCCACCAGAACCTTGTTGAAAGAAGGTATAATATCAAGTAACGGGACGAATACCTGGGGGTAAACGACACGCCAGTCCCTAATAGTTGCAGTGCCACTCAGAGCTTTAAATCACAAAGATCTGAGGGCACTGCCACTGCGCCCGACACCCTGAGACATAAGTTGATAAGTCCCATGTGTCTGTAATTTCACCAGCACCATTATCCTTCGAAACCAGAATGCATATAATTGTCACATTACTGCTTGGCAACAAAAACAGATCAGGTGACAGTACTTCCCTGGACGAACTCTTTCACATGGAGCTTTGCTGCTTCTGTAGCAGAACATACGGGTACGGGGTACCCTGTTTCGCTGTATGGATCTCAAAAAACCAACCATAGTCTTTACAATGCAATTTGCAAGTGCATATGTGTGTAGTTCGCCTACTGCTTCTCCACAAAGAAGTATCAGTAACGTACTGACAAAATTGAATGATTTACAGTGAACATTTTGTATTCAATCAATGTAAACAATACGGAAAAAAAATTCTGTTTATTTTGTATGCGTTATGAATCAGTTAAATTAGAACTTTTTATAAATGATCGAACTAGGTGACCAAATAGAATAGAGCAAATCAGTTGGAACTTAGTACAATTACCTTTATTTTTAAGGATAAGGAATATGTTTCACCGTTCGCCGAAATCTATTGCACATTTCCCCAATTTTAATGCCAGCCATTTGTTAGGCTGCGTATCATTGAATTGGTTTTTCCGAACCGTAATTTTGGCGCTACATAACGGTGCCTGCGTAAAGTTTTCCGCAATTTCCTACAAAAAAAACTGTACGATTTGCTTTAGATACCTATATTGAAATTATTGATTTAGGTTACTTCGTAGTTATTGAGATTGCAATACGACTTAAAATCGCAAATATATTTTTTTAAAGACAACGTTTCGGGGTGTTTACAAATCATGTTCATAAGTAACTGTCGGCTTTCAGTCGTTTTTCATTTCGCAACGCTAGCCATCTTCTAGGAGATCACAAAATAATGGTCATTAGTATAATCCCAATTTCCAATACAATACGAAGCTGGGGTTATAAAGTTTCTATAGGTTATGTTTATGTTACCGGGGGGGTTCGGGCGTCCCCGCGCGCTCCAGTCTAGTTTCCCATCGGCGTACCATATAGGGTATGTGCCGCATGACTTTCAGTAGTAGTGTCTCGTACAACTGCCTTCGCTCTCCCCATTCACTCTTACCCTAATATGAAAAGGTCAAGAAAATTGAGGAAGGCTAAACATCGGATGCACGTCCTTTCACTTAAAGTGCACCTCTCGAACATCCGAGGTCTGCACTCCAATCTCTCATCTGTCCACCACCATCTTGAGA